GATACATATATATATATATATATATATATATATATATAAATATACATACATATACATAGCTGTCGTATTTAAAGCGGTTGACGATGGCGATAGCGATGGTAGCGGCGGCGATAATACCGGAGGTAGCGGCTGTGCGGGAGATAGATTGGGAGAATCGCGGCGCGGGGGAAACGAGGAATGAGAGCGAGCGAGCGAGAGAGAAAGAGAATTGTAGGAGAATGAGTAACAGAGGGTGAGAGAGGGAAGGAGAGAAGAACGCGGTGAGCCAAGAAAAGAGACAGAACGGGCTCGGAACGTGGATGGAGGAAGCGGAGAGATAGAGAGACGCGGAGGAGGCGGTAGGGAGGAGGAATCGGGAGAAAGCAGCAGTGGCAGCAGCAGCAGTGGCGGCAGCAGCAGCAGCAGCAGCAGCAGTTGCCGCTCTCGGGGCGGCTGGCTGTTATCATGAGAAACAAGCTTCCACTCTGATTTTTTAATCCGATCCGCGCCCCCTGCCACCGGCTGAATTTTAAAATAACTGCAGAACGCCATTTGCTCCTCGCAAACAGACCGGGGTTAAGCCATCCCCGCCGCCGTCGCCGCTGCCGCCGCCCTGCCAGCCACCCCTTGTCTCCTCGTGGTGCTCTTGGCTCTTTTCTGTCTTCCTCTCACTTTTCCTGGTCCGTTCCATCGATGTCGGTCCACCTCGCACGCTCTCCGCCTCTATCCAGCGCTTCGCCTCTCATCCGAACCACCCTTCGCCTCTTTCTCTCTTTCACGTCGGGCACGATGCACGTTTGCGACCTGGCATCGAGCGGGTAGGATGAAGAACACATAGAGGATAGACTAGGTCGGAGGACGAGGAAACAGAGAAAGAAAGAGAGAGAGAGAGAGAGAGAGAGAGAGAGAGAGAGAGAGAGAGAGAACGAGAGAGAACGAGATGTATATCAGTGCGCGCGCTCGGCATGGGAGCGCCTGATGCCAAATTGAAATGTTTAGCGCTTCGTTTCAGCTGCTTCAAATCCCGCATGCGGGGCGCTCGGAATCGGAGCGAGACAAATAGAAGCGGGAAAAGTGCGACGGCGAGATAGCGAGAGGAAGGAGGAGGATAGAGGGTGGAGGTGGAGATGGTGGCGGTGGCGTGGTAGTGCAAACGGAGTTGGGAGGTGGAAGGAGGGCGACAGGGAGGGTTGTGGCGTAGGGTGAGAACGAAGATAGAGGAGCGAGAAATGCCGTGTGTGTAGGCCTGCCTCGGGGAGAAGGGTAGATAAGTGACAGTTTTATTAATTTCCCATCTCCCGCCGCCACTTCCACGCTCACTACCCCTATCTAACCTATCCGGCGCCACGCAACACCGGGGATGTCAGTCGCGCGTCCATACACGACGCCTCACCCACTCCACCGGCTACGTCTCGGGGTGCGAAGGCGAAAATAAAGCTCAATAATGGCGACGCGTCGTGACGAGGTTACCGCCGAACCCAGAAGGCAAACATGCCGCTACGGATTTGAATCAAACGTATCTTGCTGCCCGACGAAACATTCGCTATTTTTTTTTTTACAAAAGTGCTTTCTCATTGCCTCGCGCAATTTGCTTTCGTTCACTTCGCGACCGTCTTCTTCTGCACGCCTCGAAGATATTGTAGCAGATCGTGTCATCTCTGCACGTGTAACATTCGCTGAAGCTCGTCGAAGCTTATTGATATCCGCAATATCATTAATAACGAGTATCCCTGTACAAGAAGAAAGCTATTTCTGATCCGTTCGGATCGTTCAAATTGTACACGCGAGCAAAAGGAGTACGAAGGACACGAGACGAATAAAGGGGAACAGAACTCGACGGCGGAAGTAGAAAAAGACAGACAGGCAGACAGAATGGAGAGAAAAGAGCGGAGAGGAAGTATCCCGTGAGTCCCAGCCGGTCGCCTCGGCGGTGGAAAATTTAATTTCGATCCCGTCGATTCAGCAGTTATACCGAAGTTTAATCTTTGATAAGGGTTAGTCTTTTAGTAATGGGATCCCAGAGGGTCGGTCGCTCTGGTCCGACAGAGCGAGGCGGCAGGCGAAGCGAGCGGAGACGGAGGTGAAGAGATGGAGGTTGCCCTCTCTCTCCCTCATCCCCTCTCACCCTCCCCCCGCCCTACTCTTTCCGCTCCATTCCTCTGGCCAGGATGGAAGGAAGGAAGCAGCTTAAACCGTTAGATAGAGATCTGCTCTCGGGATGGAAGTAGTACCTACCTACCCGCTTATATCGCTCCTCAAACCGAGCAGGACTCTCGGACTTTTATACCGGCTGGGGAAGGCATAACGAGCCCCACGATGGGATAAGTTTTCCGACGCGAGTTTCCACGGAGCCTCCGCCAACGGACCCCCCTGACCTCTTCCTCCTCCACCTCCTACTCCCCTCCGCCGTTTGCACCCCGACTTCCTACGGCGTCTCATTTATTTTCGCTCGTATAAAGTATCGTTCGCGCCCTGTGTATATACTCGCGTCTCTATCTGGGTCACGCGCATCCTGACGACGAAAATGTCCTCGTTGTAAAACTTAATCCCTCGACTGGTGCCCCGACGAGAGGCCCAGGGAACCGCTTGGATCCTACCGGACCAGTTACGGAATAATAAACGGATGACTTGGCTCGTCCCGCATCTGCTCCGATCGCGAATTGTCACCGAGCGCGCAAACGAACACACAATGATTTTCTACTTTGCCACGCGTGCATTTCCATTTCTCTCCCGCTCTCTTGTTGATCTCTCTCTCTCTCTCTCTCTCTCTCTCTCTCTCTCTCTCTCTCT